TTTTTTTTTTTTTGAGTCAGAGTCTCACTCTGTCACCCAGGATGGAGTGCAGTGGTGCAGTCTCCACTCACTGCAACCTTTGCCTCCCAGGTTCAAGCAATTCTCCTGCCTCAGCCTCCAGAGTAGCTGGGATTACAGGTGCACACCACTTCATATCCTACACAAATCAATGCTTTGTGTATCAGACTATAAAAGTCAGCAGACTATTTTGGTGCAAGACCAGATAGTAAGTATTTCAGGATTTGCAGGTTACGTACAATAAAAACCAAACTTAGCTCAAGGGCAAAGCAGACTGTGGACTAGATATGGCTCATGAGCAGCAATTTGCTAACCCCTGGAACCCTGAATTGAACAGCAAAATCCTAAACGTGTTAGAAGAAAATACAAGACAATGTCTTTATGATCTTAATGTGATGAAGAATTTCTTTAAAAAGACTTGGCATAAACTATAATAGAAAATATTAAGGCAAAGGGTAGTGGGTCGTGAAATTACAGTGAGCTGAGATTGTGCCATTGAACTCCAGCCTGTGCAACAGGGCAAGACTCCCCAAAAAAAAAAAAAAAAAAAAAAAGAAAATGGGGAATTGTTTGTTTTGAGTTCCCAACATGTACAGAGCACCCTTGGCATAACTAACGCCATTTTACAAAAAGACTTCATCTTACATTTCAAAAGGCCTCATGCCAACTTGGACCAGATGTTTTGCCTAATCAATAAATATTGCATCCAACCAGATAAGGACATAAACAGGCACACTCTATATAAGTCCTCACCTGAAGACTCTGGCCATGAAAAGAGCAGGACTTCACAAGATTGAAACAGTGGCCATAACAGGCACCATCTTGCTGTCACTTGCAATAAGTAGCCAGTATTTGTTGCCAAAGGCTATGCCCACATCAAAGACTCTTCCTTTCAAGATGTTGACATCCAACCAGATCAGGGAGGACATTCTCTTTGTCCATGTAGCTCTCCTCGAACTTTTTCTTACCCCTTTTCTCTTGTTAAATTTTACTTTGATGTAATGTTTAATCTTTAAACATTTAAATTTATATATTGATTAAATATACTATTATGTATGGTTTGCTTTATTCACTGACTTATAGACTAGCTTGAGTCTGTGTGCCCACAGCTCTGACTACTGAGGGAGTCTTAAGGAGAATTTCCTCTGTGGGAAATCCACGTAGCTTGTGGCTTTTATGATTGAAACAGCATCCGTAAAAATCTGACCTTGTCGAAAGGCAGAGACAAACATGGATTTAGTTATGTCAGACTTCGCATCACTTAGGACGGAGCACTAGTATAAAGTTCTGGTTGACTGATTTACATTGCCTTACAAAATTTAGGGACTGTTTGATTTGTCTCTGCCATAGTTCACTGCTGCTACAGCTGAAAGGAGCTTGAACTGAGGCACAGAGAGATGCAAGACCGGAGCAGAAAGGGGCAGACACAAGACATTCACAAAACAGCACAAAGATACTCTGGTCTTCTTTCAGTAGTCTGAGTTGCAAGCAAAGGCACTGCAGGTTTGATCACATCATTCTGGTAAGAATGGTTGTGTGCGATTCCTTGCTTATCTGATGCCATCATAATGATGTAGGGCAGGTGAGGCCCAAATTGGGGCTTAGGCCAGGAGGGTTCTTGCTTCACCCAGGAAAGAATTTAGGGGCCCCACAGTGATGTTAGATAGGAACTTTTACTGAAGTGGCAGGGCATAGCAGCAGCAGCAGAGATACTGCTCCTGTGGAGCAATGTGCCCAGAATTGCAGCTCAGAGGCAGCTCTTCAGTCATACTTCTGCCTACTTTTAATTATATGCAAAGTAAGGGGTGGATTATGTGTAAATTTCTAGAAAAAGGTCTTAACTTTCAGGTCATCAGCTCATTGTCATGGAAAATGGCAGTAACTCCCAGGTGCTACCACAGAAATGGTAAACTTGACATGGCATACTATGTCTTATTGTGAGATATGGCAAGATTTCTCTTCAAACAGCCTGCTCAACCTTTTATTCTTTAATTCCCAGTACCCCCCCACCCTTTCTTCTCCTTTTCTACTTTCTAACTTTACTGCACCCCCATGCATGCCATAGCACCAGTGGCATTATCAGCACCAGCTCACATTCCTTTCCTTATTTAAAAAAAAACTGGGGCCGGGCGCGGTGGCTCACGCCTGTAATCCCAGCACTTTGGGAGGCCGAGGCGGGTGGATCATGAGGTCAAGAGATCGAGACCATCCTGGTCAACATGGTGAAACCCCGTCTCTACT